CTCTGTCTCTCTCTGGAAAATGAACATGCCTTAGGGCAAAAAACTGAAATTTAAGAAAGCTTGGCCTCCATATATATTTTTTCACATTTTTTTTTTTGGAGAGATTTTCACTGTAGGGCGCGTGCGCTCACCAGACAGACAGAGAGAGACAGAGACAGAAAGCGAGAAATCACCCCCCAGGGGGGATGGTCACGCCGCAATCCCTTCTCCTCCATTCTCCTCTCGGGATCTTGGGCACGCACGCACACGCGCCCGGCGTGAGTTTTAAGCCACCGGGTCCGGGACACGAACCACGGTCGACTACGTGGGAGTCCAGTGACATAGCCATTACGCTAACTGCTGGTTCCCTTTTTTCACTTTTTTTTTTTTTGTCTATTTTTTTGGAGAGATTTTCACTATAGGGCGCGTGCGCTTGCCAGACAGACAGACAGAGACATAGAGACAGAAAGCGAGAAATCACCCTCCAGGGGGGATGGTCACGCCGCAATCCCTTCTCCTCCATTCTCCTCTCGGGATCTTGGGCACGCACGCACATGTGCCCGGCGTGAGTTTTAAGCCACCGGGTCCGGGACGCGAACCGCAGTTGACTACATGGGAGTCCAGCGACATACCCATTACACTAACTACTGGTTCCCTCTTTTTTCACATTTTTAAAAATAATCTCTTTCTAAAGGGATCTTATAATGGTACAAATTTGTTAAAAGTTGTATTAAATCAGGTCAGCAGGTAGTGAGGCAGTTAAGGCATGCCTCGTGGCTGACTGAGTGGGTAGTCCTGACCCTGGCAGGGTCACATTGAGCACATGTGTATGCATGCCCCAAATCCCAAGAGGTGAATAGAGAAGGGATTGTGGCATGGCCATTCCCTTGGAAGGTGATTTCTTGCTGTCTCTCTGGCAAACGCACATACAGTATAGCAAAAATGTCTCAAAAAAAAAAAATCAATGGCACATTCACCTTTTGGATGAATTAACTCAAAGCTCAAGTTATATATGTGGGGCCAGCCCACTGCCTGGTAGTTAGGGTGGCTGAATTGCACATGGCTGGCATGGCTTGAGAAAACATACCAGGACTATGTGCATGCATGCCCAAAATCCTATAGAGAGAAATGAAGAAGGAATTGGACTGTGACCATTTCCCAAAGGCAGTGCTTCCTTGGTTTCCCTCTGATGAGCATTCACACCCTCATAAATATTTTTTAGAAAATTATGAGTAGATTTTTAGATTTCTCTATTTTACAATCTATGATTAGCCCTGTGGTTTTATATCTAGACTATAGGTAAGTATGGATTCCATTTAATGAAGACAAATTTGTGTAGAAGTACTCATTGTTTAATCTTTATTAATTAAAAAAATCTAACTACTGATAGAATTTTTACTACCATAAAATTTACTTTTAACAAATAGTTCCTCTGCATCCTAGTTTTCTTCTTTTCAAAATTAAGTTGTTCTAAATACACTGTGCTGTACTGTACTTCACACAGGTATGTTCCTCGAGGTATCTCCCCAGAGCCAACCCTAGTGAGAATTCTAAGGCTTCCTGCCTCCTACCTCTCCCCTTGGGAAGCTGCTTCTCCTGAGGACCTGTTAACAGTGATCATAAATATTACTGCTCTGACTACACCTGCCTCACTCTGAGGTGGCTGAACCATACTTCTCTGCTTTCCTCTTGTTCCCACAAGATAGTTCTGTTATGAAATACCATTTGCCACCAGTTCTAACCTGAGGAACCTGGACCACCTTATAGTGTGTTTTCCCAGTTGACTTTTTAAAAAAGAACTTCTGAAGGACTCATTTATCCATATAACACTCAGATCAACTCAGGGTGTGGTGGTTAAGGTGGCTGCATCGCACCCACGACTAAAGCAATTCAAGTCGTGTACCTGGCAGCATGGAAACGCTAAGTGCACGTGCACGCATGCCTAAAATCCTGAGCAGGGCTGTTTCTGGTCACACGTTATCTCTAACGTGGCCAGTACACAGTTGATGTACCACACACGTTAAAATAAACTATTATTTTTCTTTCTGCATTGATAGGGAGTTGACACCTTCAAATAGTTTCAACCACTACTGAGTTAAGGATGGTTACTGAAGTTCACCAAAGAGCCAAATCCTTTTCTCTTACCATTATTTCTGAATGCCCACCAGACCTCATGATCTTGTTTGTAGAAAAAATGTAATTAAAGTATGAATTCCAGTGCCCCCCCAAAAAAAATCAACATTTTTTTTCATAATAGCATTTTTTACTACCTTCTGAAGACCCTTCGCCTTATCACTACTCCAACCCAATCAAGTCCCTCTCAAAACTACCTATTTCCAAATGTAGCTCTCCACTCCTGGCTTTCCAGGAACAACTGCAACATTTACTCAGCTGCTTTTTAGACACTTAGTCCTGGTGACCTATGGCACCTCAACAAAACTTTAAAATTTTCCCCTTATTACCTCCATCTCGTATCCTTTGCCCCAGTAAATAAATCGACCACCCCCTTACCCTAAGGCATCCTAAAATTCACCTTCTTACTATTTTTCAGGCTTGCTTCATTAGACACTGCTATTTTTATATATAAGATCTTATGTAATCCTTACATACACTAAAACAGAAAACTATACAAAAATGGGCTTGGAAATTACTCTCTGGTTCAAGTTTCCAATATTCTCTGTAGAGCCAGCCCCACTACCACTAGTATAATCATAAGGTGACCCCTCATGATTTTCAGAGTATAATAATCTGCTACCAGCCAGCCCCATAGCACAATGGTTAAGCACAGTGCATCAGAGGCTGCAATCGCACGTGGCTGACTGGGGCTTGAAGAACATGTTAGGCATGTACCCAAAATGCTGACAAGATGGAGATGGAAAAGGGACTGCCATCCCAGAGTGTAGCCATCTCCCTTGAGGGGTGCTTTCTCACTTTCTCTTGGGTAAGCACATTGGGCCTATGGCAAATATATTAAAAAAAAGTGGGGATTAGAAGATATTTCAAGTAGAGGCCAAAGGGCAAAGAGAGCACATAGGATATTTAGGAAACTATAATATAAACATTTTTGCAAGCTTCTATTTAACACTAAGGAAAGTTTAAAATATAATGGATACCTGAACATTAACTATAACTTAAGACAGGACTAAGCATTCTGTTTAAGCACTGGGCCAGATCTAGATCCCACAGCTGACAGGTTTGAATCCCAGTGTGTGTACACATGTGGCCGAAAGCTAATGGTAAGAAATGGACGAAAATGGACCACAGCATGGGGAGCAGGGGTGGGAAACAGGGTGTACATACTAGCAAGGAAATATACAGAAAACACAACTTAGGCTGCACCCTGTTCTAAATATGTCAACCAGTCTGCCTCTGTGGCTCAGCTGCTCTGTGAGCCCATGCATTTGGGGATCATGACCACTGCAAACAAGTAATTTCTCACTGAATCCTGTTTTGTGCCAAAGGCCACAAGGCACTGACAGATAAGTACACCCGGTTTTTCTTTTGCTGGAGTGTATGTGCTCGCCAGAGATAAGGAGAGCAAGACCCCTCAATGGGGCCTGATTACACTGCAATTCCTTCTCCATTTTTCCACCCTGTTGACACTTCGGGTATGCGCAAACACTTGTCATGTTTTTCAAGTTACCAGGGCCAGGATTCAAACTGCACTTTCATCCACCTAGGATCCAGTTCCCTTAACCACCAGGTCATAGGGCCAGCCCGAGCTTACCCGTCTTATTTGCTAAAATACAGGCCTTTCTTTTCTTAAATTAAGTTCTATTAATTATTCCTTCTTAACGTTTGCTGTAAGGCACATGCATTCATCAGAGACAGAAAAAGGAAAGTGTGAAAGCAAGCCACCAGGGCAGGGACTTGAACTGCAATCAGTCGTGAGGGAGTCCAGTACCTTAATTATGCTACCTGCTGGCCAACATAGGCCTTTCTTAATTTATTACAGAACTGCCCTCCTCTCACTATATTCCAATCTTCTTTCTGAGCCTAGATTTAGCAATTCCATGTACCTTGAATGTCAATTTGCCTCAATGCTTACTATTACCTGGGTTTTACCTGTTTTACTAGGTACCTCAAATTAATTCACAAATTAATCATTACCAAGGCTGGAAGTTAGAAATCTTATTAGACTTTCACTTTACGAAGCCAAAATCTTATCTAAATACCTTTTCTATAGGTGAGAAGCAATCTCAGAATTCTGAACCCAAGTATCACCAACTTTAGGTTGTGCCAATGTAAAAATACCATCATTTCCTGCCCCTCCCCCAGTTTACAAGTGAACACACAGGCACAGCAGATCACAGAAAAAAATGGCAACTAGACTCTTGGAACCACACCAGGACTTAAGAAGACATCTGTAGCAACGTGCTACTGCTGCTCAACAGAAGCTGGATCCCACCTGGTGACCACAGTTCGAATTCCTGGCAGGGTTAGACTGAAACATGTCAGGTGTGTATATGGTACCCAAGATGCACCTGGCTGGAAGAACAGGACCGTAGCACACCAGACTCTAAGGAGTGCTCCTCTCAGACTCAAGCATGCACACTCTCATAAAGAAAAAAATAAATCTGTAGCACATTGTTCTATCCCCAAACCTATAGTAATTCACGAATAAGTCTGATTAAAAATACCTTAGCACACAGATTTTTTTTTTAACCGAGAACATTTATTGCCTGACTAATCGTTGAAATCCTTAAGATGAACTGGATGCCGCAACAGCTGCTCTCTTGGGTTTGGGTGTTGTTCCTTCACGGAATCCATGCCTGCACCACATTAAAACGAGAAGTTACTACACCAACATCAATACATGCACTTTGTTATTTTTCAAGCAAGTTATAATGAGCTTATCTCAGTTGAATGCTGAAATCAATATTGCATTCATATGTTCAGACATTTATATTTACAACATCACAGATAAGCTGGTAATTGATCCAATTCTGCTTAGAGATATCCATTTTAGGATAGTTAACTACAAGTAGAATAAATACTCAATAACCAGTATTTTTTTTCACTGTTTGTCAAGAGACCCAAGGAACCTGTTAAACAGCTTAACTATTTTAACTCATTAATTATACCTATCTTTTAAAGGGTATACTATTGTTTCCCTTTAAAGCGGCACAGGAAGATTAAATAGTCTTCAACTATGGCTTCAGTTCATGCTCATAACTCCTACTTTTGTAACATACTAGGAGACCACTTGACATTAAGCCCACACAATTTTACAATTGCAAAAAAACACAAAAGGTGGTTTTAAGCACAGGAACATACACTTAATTGTTTACAAAGCCTCAAACTGTCTTACAACTTTTTTTTTTTTAAAAAAACGTGGATACTCTGGGAACTAAGTAGGTAGAGGCCAGAAATTGCACAAAATGTTTTTGCACAGTAAAACTCCCCACAACAAAGAATTACCTGCCCAAAGTATCAGTAGTTGAGACTCAGGGAACTAGAACACAGTAATGGAAGGAGCACAGGCTTTAAAGTGAAGTCTGCGTCACTTTCAATCTCAACTGAGGCCTCTGGTTAATCTCTTAGAAGCTACTATTAAAACCTTAGTTCTCAGTTAAGTCTTGGCTGGGGCAGAAATTCTGTGTGTCTAACAAACTCTTAAGCCCAGACTGAGAAACAAAACCCAAAGGTATAATACTAAGGCACTTTTAAAAAAGGACTTGCCAAAGTGCACAAAAATGAAGGTTCAACCACATAAGCCCACCTACAGATTGCATTCACACACTTACTACCTCGACAAATTCAGTATCAATTCAAATGAATTGCATTACGTTCTGGGGATTCTAGCTCAAACAATGCTTCACACATTTAACTTGTACTACTGCTCACTGAAAGACTATTAACAAAAACCCGATGAACTGATCTTCAGGTTATGGAAAAAAAAGAAAAAAACACTTCCTAATATCTCAACCCTACCAATCATGAGGGTAGTACAACCTTTTTACACCAGCGCACATTAGGGTCTTATAGAAGCCCATAGGGCAATAATGATTTAAACATAAAAACTGTACCTGAATCTGCGGTATACAATTTTTAGGTGCCTCATTCGACCAGTCCCAGTGGTATTGCGCCTTTTAGCCTTGGCACTCCAGTTATCTAAAAACACAAGGTTACGTTAAGAGTCCATGGTCGTCCCTCTCTCCCACCAACACAGGCACTTTGTAGGTGACTGGGTTTTATGCCATTTCATGGGCAAATGATACACAATTGTTTAATGTTAGGCATCAAATAATACTCAAAGCCATACGGGGATCCCCATGCCCTTTAGGTGTTACACAAACAACACAGCCCACTCGGAAAACAACGCTTACACTTTCTCTTGCGCTTTGCAGGGTAGCCACATTTGCCACAGGTCGACTTCTGAAGGTGATAGGCCTTAGAACCACAGCGGCGGCACAACGTGTGCGTCTTATTGCGACGCTTCCCAAACGATGACGTTCCCTTCGTCTGCACATTAAAAAAATAAAGTCAACACTTTGGCCGTTTCTAAACGTATTCTGGCGTTTCTGGGACACCTACTGAAAAGGTTTAAACGCAATTAAATAAGAACATAAAACTGGGGAGAGTTCCAATTTTTTAAACAAATGCCAAGTCAGCGCCAGCACGTCACATCCTCTACATACCTCCTAAGGAGCTGCAGTATTCTGAAATCTACATTTTTGTGTAAAGGTAGAAAAGGCGTGTTTCTCCTAAACACTCCAAGGCCTTAACACTCCTGCCCGACACTACCACCAATTCCTCTGCTGTTACACTGAGCAAACGCTCCCAATCTTTTCCCCCCAGCTGCCATGCGCTGGCAGGGCAGCGTGGGGTACCCAATGGGCAAACCGAAGCAAGGGACGCAGCGCCGCTCCATCTCCCGAGTAGGGGCTCAGCCCGCCGGGCACCACTCTGGAGCGGTTCTCCAAGGCCAACAGCAGTTCCTTTCCTGCCCACTCGCTCCCTTTATCCAGAACCTTGCCGATCCCCCACGGGTAGCAAGCAGCAAGGCACAACGGACGAGGATGGAACGCGATTCGAAGACGCGGCTACACAACTCACCATCTCCCTTCCGTAGCTGAGACCAAAGAGACCGGAAGCAAGGGCACTTCCGCTAAGTTACTCCCAAAAGCTTCCGCCCAGGACAGTACTTCCTGCAGAGTGTGGTGCACCGGTCTCAAGCGTCCGTAGCCGCTTTGAGGGCGGAGTCTAGAGAAGGATGCAAAGCCGGGCTCAGAGCTCTCTAGTCGTGGTACTAGAGTCGGTTCTGGGCCCGCGTTGGCCTTGATCCGCGTTTAGTCCTGATCACAGCTCTTCCTGCTGCTGCTGCTCCTGCTGCTGACGACTTTCACGTGTTTGCAAATCGCGTCTTCCAATCTTCGAGCCGCACCGACTTGGTGTCCTCGGCGTGAGGGTAGTGGTCCATGGGGCTGAAATTCGAGCCAGCCCGTCCAGGTTTCTCTTACTACGGCCCGGAAGCTTCTCGCTGTCACTATGAGAGGTCTCTAGGAATGCAGAGGCATGGAATGGCCTTCAAGAGACCGGAGCTTAGAACCTTTTTTTTGGGAGAGTTTTTTTTCTACAGGGCGCGTGTGCTCGCCAGAGAGACAGAGACAGAGAGACAGAAAACGAGGAATCACCTCCCAGTGGGGATGGCTACGCCACAATCTCTTCTCCTCCATTCTCCTCTCGGGATCTTGGGCACGCATGCACACACGCGTGGCCTGAGTTTAAGTCACCGTCTGAGACTCAAACGCGGTCGAAAACATGGGAGTTCAGCGACACAGCCATTATGCTAACTGCTGGTCCCCGGAGCTTAGAATCTAAAGGGAAAGGCACAGGCAAATTGTTGTCTTGTTTTTGTTGTGTTTTGTTTTAAATCGCGGTTTTTATACTGTAATAATTTGGTGACAAACTAGTAAAATAGACTTCAAATAGAATTGTGTTATAGATCAGTTTTGCAGCCCCCTAAGTATAGTTGTAGCACCTTACTGTCAAGAAAAGACTAATGCAACAGCTTCGGATAGGGCTTGGAAGCTTGTACTCTAAAAAACGCTTTCAAGGACCAGCAGATGGCGTAATTGGTTACGTTGCTAGACCAGCGTTGTAGTTTATGCACCCCCAAAAAACAACAACAACAAAATAAAACCTTACACTGGGACGTGTTGGGTGCGTGCCCAAGATCCAGAGGGGAGAACGGAGAAGGGATCCTGCGTGGCCATGGGAGCGGGAGGGTGCGGGGGTACAGGGCTGCCGACGAATTGATTTCTTGTTTTCTGTCTCTCTCTCCTTATCTATCTGGCAAGCACATGCACCCCATAGCGAAAATCCCTCAAAAAAAAAAAAAAAGTCCACGTTGTCAAGATAGTTTTGAAATCGGTGGTTTCCAGACTACCTTTATAATTGTTACTGCACTTCTAACCTCTTACTCAAAAAACCTCCCACTCTCACAAAACAAGAAAATATTTAAACATTTAAGAATTAAAAAGGAAAACCAATCCTAAACGATCTTATCATCTACTTAATCTATCAACTGCAAAACTTTAGCAATCAGCTAACTGCTAGCAGAACAAGATGAACATAAGGAATCAGAGGTTCACTTTAAACAAGTTGGTTATTATTATTGCTTAATAAGTATTAGGCACTTTTCTAGGAGCTGGGAATAAAAACAGTAAGAGGACATAGTCCCTGTCATCCGGGAAGTGCTAGGAGCAGTGGGGAGGAGTTTGTGTGGCAGGTGAGAAAGAAAAGGCAAACATTTAAGTGATCAAACCAAACTTCAATTCAGGGGACACTTTATAAATTAAGTGTTGCATCAGTGTCCTTGTGCTGTTGTAACAAGTTATCTTAAATTAAATAGCTTCCAGCAACACACATTTAATTAAGAGGTATAAAATTGCAGGAATGGGGGTGGGGTGAGTAAATTCTAGAGATAAGCTATGCAGGAATTCAGCCTCCAGCCCACAAAATCAAGTGATAGGGAGCCCCTCTAGCCTTCTATCTCTGTCTCTCGCTTTTCATTTTTTCATAATTTTTCCTTTTAAAAAAAAAATTTTTTTTTGGAGAGGTTTTTGCTATGGGGCGCATGCACTCGCCAGACAGACAGAGAGAGACAGAGAGACAGAAAGCGAGAAATCACCCCCCAGGGGGGATGGTAACGCCGCAATCCCTTCTCCTCCATTCTGCTCTCCGGATCTTGGGCACGCACGCACAAGCGCCCAGCGTGAGTTTTAAGCCACCGGGTCCAGGACACGAACCGCAGTCGACTACGTGGGAGTCCAGTGACATAGCCATTATGCTAACTGCTGATTCTGGAAATTTTTTAAGGTAAAGTATTTTCTCAGCTTTCAACCCTGCCTTTATCTTGCTAATAATCCCCTTTCTACCTTCCTTCCAGGAGAGGCAAGGGACAGGCCTTCAGAAGAAGATTCCTCCATGGCTCCTGAGAACTAGTGATTTCTATTATTTGCTTTTTAAAAAAACTTTTTAAAATATTTTTTCCTTCTTTTTCTCTCTGTTTCTTTGTTGTTGTCTCTCTCTCTCTTTCTCTCTCTCTCCCTCTCTCCTTCTCTCCCTCCCTCCTTTTCTTTTTCTTTTTCTTTTATAGCATCACTCTGGTTCTCAATCTCCATTCACTCTGTCTCTAGCTGGATCTAAGGGAACCATAGCTAAACATCCAAATACTATTAGGGTTAACATATTCCTCAATATCCACTGAATCTGCTGCACAAAGGGACAAAAATGGAATGGCAAATAGATTCCAGATTACCTCCTTCTCACACTCCTTAATACTCAGATTGAACTTCAAAAATTAGGAAGAAACACACCATCCATCAGATGACTAGAAACCACTGCAGGGCCACAAGAAATATGGGAAAGCCAGGAAATACCTCTACTTCAAGGGAAAAGAATAACCCCTCCTCATCCACAGACAGTTCAGTGGAAATCATGGAAATGTCTAATAAAGAATTTAGAGTATTTATAATGATGAAGCTAACAGAGATGTAAAAGAAGAGAGACAACAAACTGTGAAAGAAAGGAGAAAGGAGCTGATGAATCCAGGAGTTGAGGAAATTCTTGCAAGATCTAAAAGAGGAATTACACACTTTAAAAAAGAATCAAATGGACCTGTTAGAAATGAAGGCTATAATTCAGGAAGTCAAAATCTCCCTTGAAAGTATTAAAAACAGACTAGATCATACAGAAAATAGAATCTCAGACGTAGAAGAGAAAATTTCTGGCCTAGAAAAATCTACCACAAAGACTGAGAAAATTGCCAGAAAATTTTAGAATAATATACAAGAAATACTAGATACCATCAAGTGTCCAAACATCCATATAATTGGTATTCCAGAAGGTGAAGAGACTCATAAGGGAATTGATCATCTATTCCACGAAATCCTACAAGAAAACTTTCCAAAACTAGTGAGGCACTCAAAAATCCAGTCTCAAGAAATAAAAAGGACCCCAAATAGAATCAACCCAAGAAGATCTTCTCCAAGACACATTATAGCCAGATTGACCAAAACCACAGACAAAGACAAGATTCTAAAATTGGCAAGGGAAAAACAGCAAGTTACCTACAAAGGATATTACATTAGGCTAATAGCAAACCTCTCATCAGAAACAGTACAAGCAAGGAAATAATGGGAAAATATATTCAAAGTGTTAAGGAAAAAGCAATTTCAACCAAGAATAGTATACCTGGCAAGATTATTCTTCATATGGGAAAAAAAAAAAAAAACAAAGACAAGAACATTCTCAGATAAACAAGTCCTGAAAGAATTTACCAGCAGCAGACTAGATCTCCAAGAAGTTCTCAAAGGAGTGCTATACTAGGAAAATTAAATACAGACACACAGAACTAAGAGTTCAAAAACTAAGAAAATGACCAACTTAATCATAGGGACAAGTCTGGAGTTGAATATTATATGCCAGAATTTAATCGGGAAGATCGAACCACAACAGAAGATAGATTAATACATGAGACTGAATTGGTGAAATAGCATTTTATGACTTTTGACTTAACATTGCTGATTTTCTTCTAGGCTTTGTTTTCCGGCTTCAAGAATTTTTGTCCTGTCTTGTGCTGTCAATAGATTCATGTACGTACCTTTTGAACAGAATCCTAACCTATTTCCTGGCTTTAAGTTTTAAGCAAAGTTTCTTAGCATTTCTTTGACTTATTAAAGTTAAAACTGCTTTTCTTGAAATTACCAGCTGAACTTGCTTTCGAAAGTAGTTAGATTATTTAAAAAGTTGTGTGATCAATAAAATGTGAGGGGAAAAAGGAATGGAAGACAACTGTAGACACCAGAGATGGTGTGGGAAAAGGGTGGGAAAGGGCAGAGGATCATAAATAGGGGTAAAATGTGTGTGTGTGTGTGTGTGTGTGTATTCTAGTTATACGTAGAAAAACATGCATGATTAAGCCACTATGCAATATATTCTGGATGGGAAATCACATTTTGTATGCTGTGATAATGCTTAGGGAATGAATATAAATTAATTTTAAAAAGTGCTTCAGAAATAAATGAATAAATAAATAGATTTTTAAAAAGAGAGATAAGCTGTGTAGTAGTGTGCCTAATTAACAATATTGTACAGTTAAAAATCTGTTAAGAGAAGAAATCTCATGTTATGTGTTCTTACCACAACTTAAAAAATAGACACAAATTTAATAAGTTCTACTGGCCAGAAGCACTAAAAGGGTCTTACTGGGCTAAAATTAAAATGTTGGCAGACTTCCTTTCTTGGAGGGAAAAATGTGTTTTCCTGCTGTTTTCAGCTTCTAGGGGCTGCTCAAACTGTTTGGTCTAATGCTCTCTACAGCCTTCAAAGTTGGTAATAGTCTTTCTCACATTGAGTTACTTTCTTTTGCTTCTCTCTTCTACCTTTAAGGTCTTGTATGGTTACATTGTCCACACCCAGGTAATTTCATTTCAAGGAGGGCTAATTAGTAATAATTATCTTTTGCCATAAGACCTAACATACGCATAGGTTGTAGGGATTAGGACATAGTCATCTTTTGGGGAAGGGGGAAAGTGAAGGGGCATTATCTTGCCTACCATAGGAACTGTGAAAAATGAGATCAGTGTGAAAAGGGTAGGAAAGTGTCAGTCACTAAGGCACCAAACTATATGACAGGCACTATGTAAATCTCTGCCCAAGACACTCATGGAACTGAAGACACTGAAGAAAGTGAAATCTTTT